TCCGGGGTCGGTAAATTGGTACTAGACAGGTCTCAGACTCGTCTGGGAGGATAAGCAGCACTGACTCGGTTCAGCGGGAGGCCACCGCGAGTCATTGTAAAGGCCAGATAAGCATTCAATCACCTCAAACGAAGTTAAAAATCAAAGTCGAATGCATGGCGCATCCCTCAGGGATTGATCAACACCGAGAGCTTTATCTTTTCTTTTATATTATCGACTTATTTGGTCGCGATCATTATCCCGAAGATTTTCGGAAATTCTGCGTCTTGTTCAAACTGTTGCTTGTGGGTTCGGTTTCCTTCGTGTCATGAAGTGAGTACTAGTGAGGTAGAACCTTTAGCATTTTTAAAGATGGTCAGGCTAGGAAGTTTTTAGGTGACTGCAAGAGAGCGCATGAAGAGGGGACCGAACCACTACGTTGCATCATAATGGCGTGTATCATGAACCACTCGGCAACCGCTCTCCTATCCCTCGTATATTTATACGCTGTCTCTGCGCTGAAGAAAATATTTAGTTAATGGGTGACGAAACATCTATGCGATCTAATTACTGAAAAGTTGGCGCTACTGTTATTCTAAAACTTGCGTTCTTTCATGTAGCTTGCGAAAATATAAGTAAAAAAAAGATTAGGTTCTCCACTAGCTTTTGCGCCTCTTCAATTCTTGACTTCAGTTCATAACAGTGTATACAGAAGAAATAAGGAAACCGATATATGCCACAATAAGGGTTGTATGGATTGTGTAGACGAAAAGAAGAAATAATGTGCGCTCTTCGATGCAAAAAAGATGAGCAAATTTATGTCTAATAGAACTTGAACACCACAATTGAATCTATCACCCTCCCAATCAGTGAATGACTGATAATTGGAATGTATCATTCTCACAAGCACAGACTCTTGCTGGAAGATAGAAGCCAAAAAAAAAATAGCTTTCAATGGACAAATGAGCTTTGTCATCACAAATTCATTTGAGCAAATGAAGGAACAGAGGGGATCCAATTTACTGAGAAATGAATAAGCTACTATTATAGTTTGCTTTATTAACCAAATAATCAATTAGACGCGTCACAACTGCTGTGTACTCATCCTTTGAAATATGTTGTGATATTATAAATATATGAAGACTGTCCTGAAAGCACATATCACATATATGTGGATCATATGCATATATGCATATGTGCATATAATTTACCATGTATATATATATATATATATGTATACATATGTATATTTATGCGGCCATCAATCAAAAATGAATCGTCCCTATCCTAGACGGCACTACTTTCCACCATTTGCTCAAGTTATGTCTCGAAAGTCATAGAGAAGACATGCATCACATGCGTGGGCGCATCAATACTATGCTATTCTAGGCTATGCTCCAAAATCGCAATGGACTAAAGTGATAGTTTTTATCTATGCGCACGTGCAATTGCATAAGAGCCGTCCATGGAGGACCTGATAATGCAGCCAAAGAGACACGACACGACCTCAATGACCTAGCTGAGAAATAAAGACCCCAGCTATTTCACGACGTTCATGACACCGTAAAAGTTCTACTTCTTAAACTTCAATGCATTGTTATACATTGAAAAGCGAAGATAAAACTTAAAGGAACCATTGAAGAAGGTAACAACACTGTTTAATCAATTTGAATTGATTATAATGAGTGGGAACTGTCCAATTTCAAACTCTAAGGCCATTTAAGGTAATTCGTGAAATTGAAATCACACTCATAGCGGTGGATGCGAGTTTTTCTCAAATGACAGTACCATAACAAATAGACCATATATTAGTAAGTCGGATATTCGGTCCTAGGCTATGTTGTTGTTGCTCGAAATTCTTCGTTCAGGCGCTCTTTAAGTAGTGGCATGACCTTACCACTATTTTGCTAATATTGTTGGGTATGCACTGAATGTTAGATCTTGCGAGGTAGTTGAACCTGCTACCTACACTTTCTCCAGAGTGCATGCTAACTACTGCATGACTAAAGCTGCTGTTCAAGCTACCACTTTTTCCTGCAATGCATTACACCGACACATTCCACTTTTTGTCAAACGGAGAGAATGAGCAACCAAACTGGGGTTTATTCCAGTCATTAGCTGCAGTCAGGAGTATTTCGTCTTCACGAAAACTCGAGTCGATACATGAACGTGAAATTACACGAGCTGCAGGGAGCCGACGACTCCTGCAGAGAAGAAAGAAGATCTAAACAAAAAAATCACACTTTCATCCGATGCTGCAAAAGCTGGAAAGCCATTCGTGAGTCCCGACTTGGTTCATTTCAATCAGATGATCTTTGACGGAACAGTAACATATTTCAGATCATTGACTTCAAATTCAAGGAACTCTTAACAAGCTACTTCAACTTCACCAAACGATTAGAATCGGCGACTCTTCAGAAAGTGTTGCATTGATCGAGCTAGGCCAATGCCGATGAAGCGCAATTTTTACCGTGGGCGGAATGCGACGAAACCTCAACTCCGTCCAATTCATCAAACTGTATTTGGTCTTTTTGGCAGTTTGCGGTCTGACATTGCCTTGCTGCATCAAAACACACTTTTGGTCGACGAAGACAAGTACTCTTCTCCTCGAGTTTGTCGTAGACTCGGCCTGACTGCTGACAACAGAGCTCGGCTGAATTTGCCGTTCGGAGCCAACTCTGTAGTTTTCCGATGACACGCATGGGATTATCTCATACTTAAAATAGTGCTTCAGAACTTTCTATCCGACTCCGTACTCTAACCACCTCGTTTGCTACGCCTTTCTGCTGTCAGATGAAATATACGATACGAGACTGGAATTGTCATTCCGCCTGTTCTCACATCCACAATCATAGCGTTATTTTGTGAGTTGAGCAATGATCAACACCTGGTACAGAAAAGATGAGATCTTAACATCTGAGAAACATTCTCACCTATTCTCATCAATACGGTGGTTCGCCTCTTTACAGGGTACCAATTGGTATGCAAATCTTATAGTCAATTCACACTTCAGCACTTTATTTGATCCGTTGATCACAGTGTTTTTTATTTGATGTGCGTATTCCAGTACTTCTCGCATTGAATTCGCTTTCCACCTCTTCTTGAACGTCGTAGAATACTCTTCGAACGAGTCTCCTTACATTCTCAAGGATAGCCTTGCTGTGGTGTTCCATAGAGCGTTGGTGTATAGTTAATTTATGATTACGGAAATCGTTTTATCGTCCAAAAAGTCCCTCACGGCATTAGAAACTATAGCCTATCTTTTGTGCTCTTCAGTATCAGTAAATTCTTTCCTTGAGTCATTATTGACAGGATTGATAAAGCATTGGGCAATGGATAGCAGAGCAAGCAAGCACGGTTTCAAAAAATATTTCAGCACTATAAACCACATCTAAATGTTTTAAGGATTGCCGAAGTTTCGCGAGAGTACAGTTAATCGTTTGTCTCAATCAACAGAAATAGTTTTTTAGTTAATGCAAAAGCATTTGTTGTACCTCTGAACATTCAGGACATTCATAAAGAATACATAGAGATCATTGTATGTTAAATAATGATTTCACAGCTACAATTTGTAATTCTGTGACTATCTAACTACATATGTGAAGAGAGTGGTTTGCAGGCGAAAACATTTCGTTAAAGTTTACTACACGCCTCCTGGACATCATGGAAACAATTGAGAGCAACATGGACGGCAAATTTGATGGACGAAAAAAACATCCTCGCTTTGCCCATGGCGTATTTATACGTCAAGCATCAGCTAGACAAAAAAATGTTGACCAGTTTCGACAACGCATGCGGAAAGATTGATCTCCGACGAAAATTCGCGGAGGACGATCTTTATGATGACCGAGTCAGTCACGGATGCTCCATTTACGTCTAGCGGATTGAATAAGTCTGAATGCTTAATTTACGTCTATTTAGCTTGGATGTAGGCATTATGATAAACAGCCTAGCAAATTTTCTCCAGAAATCTTTCTCCAAAATAAATAATTACAGAAATATGAGAAGAAAATCGGAAGTGTGGTTCATTCCCAATTACGTAGTGTCTTATATCAAGAAGTAGAAACTATTAGGAAGCTAGATGTTTCTTCTACTAATATACCTTTATGGTGGTCTTTCCTGCATTAATAGATTTTTCACGGGGATAAAATGCTTTTGAAATCCATTCTTCTACCAGTTAAGTGTAAATAAATTCGTTATAAAGTTTGAGCAACACAATTATCAATCGGAAGGCAGATATGATTTCTTTTGTTACTGGTTCTGTTGAATGATTACAAAAATAATATAAAATAAAGAAACAATTTTATTAACGGTTGGATATGTGAGTTCATTTAGTAAAGTCGTCTTCTCAAAGATCACAATTTTTGAAAAATAAGGGTGTTCTTTTTCTGGCAAAAATGCCTTATCAAAGTCTCTTTTGTGATAGTCCATCACATTTATATCCAAATCCTTTCAAACTTCAGTTTACTAAACAAAATTCATTATTTCCACGCGTCATTGACCGGTGGCCATTATCAGTGCAATATCATGCATTTGGTCTCCGGAGTATTAATCCTTTCAGGACCATGTGTACCAAGAAGGGTACACGGTCCTTTTAGTGATTTCTTGGTCGGACAGAGATTTTTAATAAGACATTACCCAGTATTCAATTCTTAAAAAATCTCGGTGTCAATACTACGCTTGTTTTTTAAAAAAGCTCTTCTTTTGAGCCGCAACAAAGAAGAGAAAACTACGCCTTTTTCGGAGTGTGTAATGCATTCACACTCCTGATTGCTTAATTTTATCACTGGACAGAGTATTTTTCAACGGTTATTTACTAGCTTAAGAAACGACGTATCTGATTATAAACTTAATTTTGTAAACAAAGCTTTATTGCGCCGTAGTATCACGTAGAGAGATTACGTTTCGCCCTTGAAGAGCCATGTGTGACCGCTATCGTTTATGCTTTGCTTTTCAGTGGAAACTCTAATGGTCATTTGATTCCATATACCTAAGAGAATTGAGTGGTGAGCAAAAAACGCGGCCTCAGGCGGGAATTGAACCTGCGTTTCATTCTATCCGGGGACGCGTGCTCTAAACCACTACACCACTGAGGCACATTTGCCCGACCACTCATTCTTCAACATCTCAATGTTAGCTATCAGCCACCAACCTTTGACCGGTTTGGTCGGGTATGCAATTTCGCTTCATGAACCCAGTTGAGCTGACAGCTATTCTAATTACTAATAGTCGGATTTAATGGTATTTTAATGCATTTCGCATTGTTATGATGTTTTCCATATACCTAAGAGAATTGGGTGGCATTTGATTGTTGGAAAAGTGGCAATATTACAAATAACTCATTTTAAATGCATTATGGCAGCGAGAAAAATTGTTTTATTATTTAATCAATTAACCCGTCTTTTGCATCGAGCTTATTGATATTCCATGGTATGATTTATGAGTTAGGGTAAATTTATTTGAGGAAAGGATATACCAAAAGTCCTTCACGTAGAAGAACGCCCACGTATCCTAAGATCTCCCACTTTCACTTGTGAAGGCCACATCAAAGGGGAAAAATAGCATTCCCAGTTCTTTTGAGGACAACGAATTCTCAGGCGGCAAGAAACAAACCGGGATTCTAATCTCTGAAGTTTGACTTGTGATTAAAAGCATAGAAAGACACACAGCTTCAAGGCCCAATAACACTGCTAGTACTTCTCTGAGCTGATAGCCCACGATACTTCTTGCGAGACATATGACATCACACCTTCAGAAAAATATCTCAGGCAGGTGAAGGTCTTCGTGCCCTCTCATCTAACTTGAGAAGTGAGAAAAAGGACTGTCCAAGATAGTGCCCGGCATGTTTGCTAAGTTACTCTACGAGCTTTCGCTATACTCATCATTCTGAGCATAGCGTTATCACAGATGAGGCTTAACTGTTGGCAAGCAGACTCCAAAAAGAACTGTGTTGTACGGACCATACCTAAACCGTGTCGCGGATCATTGAAGTCTGTCAGCAATGCCGTATGCTCCATAACTGGATCTTCTTTGATACGTGAAGCGTTTGACAGCGTTTAAACGAATGCAGTCCTGTTAGTTTTCGTTGACCAAGTTACAGAGTCGTCCTGTGCACAGACAATAAGTGGCTTATATCGAAACTGCAGCAGAAAATGCGGCTTCGCCAACGACACCTCACTGTACCCAAAGAGAAATGAGCCTTGTAAGGCGAAATCGTTTGTCAGAGGTAATGACCGTTCTACTACAACGAATAATGATTTCGCTTGACTGAGACGAGACGGCTACATGTTCATAAAAAATCTTCTCCAAACTGCTTTTGTGAACGACAACGTCATTTCCTCGAAAATAACTCGTGGAGCAAAAAACTATGCTCAGTGAACTTAGCGAATCGGAAAAAGATTCGATCAAGCATGAACAGGGCGAAAGCCCAGTTTTTAGAGAAATCCCTGATGCGGAAAGTGAACGAATTCAAGCTTATGCCTTTTCAAATGTTTGTCAGCACTCACAACGTCGAGGTGAAATGCGTAGGTAGATCTTTGAAAACTATTCCATCTTTGTGATTCAGCAATACGCATGCATCGATAAACGAAACACAGATTGACCTCTCAATGAAAACCAAGGTGACAGGTGAGCGAAAAGACATTAGGGTGATCTCCATGAGAATGCATACGTCTCACTAGAAGGCTACCGGAAGCGATGGGGCGGACGTGTTTGTGGCTAACGCTAGCCATCTGCAGCCGCAAAGAGTTTGAAATTACGGAACTGGGCCTTGCGTGCGTCACCATGCTCGAATATGCACAAGCATGCGAAAATTCTGTGAGAAAGAAGCGAATGAAAAACCATGTTGGAGTTTGCATGGCGGGTCGTTCAACTTTCATGTAAGTGAGAAATTGAATATCAAGGTGCAGATCTTATACTTTTCACATCCTTTATACCATTCACTGATCGGATCTTATCACTGTAATTCCAAATTCCTGAGAGTTGAACCAGATGTCAAAATTGATGAAACTCTATCTATGAGATGATATTACATTGGTAATTCGAGATTTTTTAATTATTTATGTAGCTAAGGAGTTGTGCTATCTGTGGAAATGAAAAGAAACTTCCTACATTCTGTTTCGTTCCTGGCTGTTTAATTAATTCAACTTCACTGTGACTGAGAACAAAAGTTTTTGGAGGTTGATCATTTAACGAGACCTGATACGAACCCTATTACCGTTGGAATTCATTCTCTACTACCTAAATGAGTGATGTCTCTTCTGCGTTGTTTAGCTGAGTGCATGGCTCGTTTTGAATTGTCTATAGTTTTGGCGAAGAGAAGTCGCGTATTTCCAGACAACTTCAAAAAATTGTGGATTGGCTGCTGCTTCAGCTAGGAATTGCTGGTTTTTTTTTTTAATGATTCCTCGATGCGACTCGTATAATGCGTACAATCACAGGAATTCAGGTGCTGATATTGATCGTTACTATCAGATTGGAGACTATTCTTTCGTTTTTTTTAGTTGTTTCCGTTTATTTACAATGAATTAAATTCCCAGGCCATGTGTGAATTGCGCTGTGCGATAAAAACAATACCTAGCGTAAAACTCAATATTCTTCTGGCTGTAACAGCGTAATAAAAAGGTTTTGTTTTTTCAAAAACCAGCCACATAATTGTAATAGTTTGAAATTTGTGCTATCGAATCGTTCCTGAGAATCGGAAGAAAAAGCTGTGTTCAGCCCAAACGGTGTTTAGTGTGAAATCAAATCTTATCCATACTATTACGGCATGATATGAAAACCATTTAAAAAAAGACATGTCCCGAGTTTTTGGAATATAAGTTACTGGATGAGAACTAAAATGACAAGAAGAAGTAAGAAATAAGTTTTTTTTTCAAGTATGGGTGGGGATAAGGGAAAGTTGCAAGTTTTTTTCATAGACATTTTGTTCATTTCGGACTGATAGCAGTATTTTTATAGTAGTGTGTACTAAAAAGTACACATTACATGAACTTTTTTGAAAAGTCGTACATTGGAGAGAATGTGCTTTTCAGACATCGTAAGAAAATAAGGAGTAAGAAATGGAGATGCATCGTTTTCCTATTGATGTGGCCATGAAAAGTATTGTAAAGTGAGAATTTTTGGTAGAGGTGATCGTTCGTTCACCACGAAACTTTAGACTTCCATAGAAGGGCTTATGTAACATAGCGCTATTTCTGAACATAAATTGTCTAAAGCGTACGAATTTTTACTATGCAGCTACTAATTTACCCACTTTAAAATTCAAGCGATGGGCTAACTAGTCGAATATGAAATGTGATCTTAATAACCTTGCTTTCGCGCATTGAAAAATTTAGTTTAGAAAGAACTAATCAGGTTCTTAGACCTTCACATTTTGAGCTATCGAATGATTACCGAAACTCTTTCGTAGAGCTAGGCATAAACAATAGCGAAGCATGTAAAAGCACGCTGCAAGCGAAACGTAATTTTCTGCTCGTCGCTACTACAGCGCAGGAAACAGCTTCGACTGAGAATGAACTCAAGTTTTAAATTTACGTTACAAATTGCCTTTTCTTCAAGCTATCGTGATGACTACTATTGCTTCAGTGGAAATCTTTGTTTGCTGAGAAAGCTGAGCAAACACGGCGCATTTCCACTATAAACTCCGAGAAAAGTCTTCGTTTTCACAGCTCATCACGAAAGACGCTTCTGAAAACCAAATATAACACCAAAAATGGTAACTTTTCAGCTATTGAGTGACTCCTAGAAGTCCAGCGGAAAGTTTGTGCTCGACGAGAAAAACACGAAAAAGCGCGTGAACCATAAGTGGCTTTACGTGGCCGTAAAAAATTAAGGAGGGAAAGAAACGTGCCAAAATTCTTTTGAACACGTTGCTGCAATCGGTGTAAACAAATGGGTTTTTGTTAACTAATTAGGGCTATTTTCTTCGTTGCGGGAATGGCTCTAAGCTTTTTGTAATCCTTCGATCATTCGCGGTTAGATCGTGGATGAATTGCGAGACCCTCTCGCAACTCAATAAAACTCTCTCCTCTCATGATTGACAAACAGGAAAATGCGATCAAAGACTGCGATTCGATGGACTTAAAATCTGTGCACTCCAGCATCTGTTTCTCAGATAGAAAGCTCAAATTGCTACTTCACATTACCAAGTGTGTTGTTCAAGAAGAAAGGAGTCGTAACTTGATCCTTGTGCAGCACACCTAACGAAGACGAATCTAATGCCGTAGAAGGTCTTGCAAAAGGACCTGCATCGATATAGGCAATAAAAGCTATCAAAAGCAACAAATAAGAGTCAGGCTGATAAATGCTACCAGGAAATCTGCAACTATTATGTTGTTATCTGTGCTGATTAATGAGTATGGAGTCGCCATTACATCTCGTCACGATATGGACTGATAACGAAAATCCTCTGTCATTCTTGTATCTTGTCCCAAATCCCGGTCTCAGGCTCCAAAATCCCAGTTGGTAAGAAACAACTGGGATTTTTAGCCTCTGAAGTATAACTTGCGAATGTAAGCGTGATAAGAATCACACCTTAGAAACTGACAGCCTCACTACTTCTTTCCCTAGAAATAGTGATCACGATGCTTCATGTACTTCTCTAAAATTCACGATTTCACACCTTCAAAAAAGATAAAATCTGAGACCATGGAGGACCTTGCTTACATTTATCATACTCATGAAGAGACGACAAAGGAATCTTCACATAGTGTAGTACATTACTGCGAACCGTTATATAGACTTTTGCTCGAAACAATGATAGTCTGATAACGTGACAACGTGCGTGAACTTGCTATGACCTGTTTCGTCATTCGGTATCGTCAGTAGCACAGTTACTTGACTGTGGTCACTGCAATGTAGGAAGATTTTTTGTCACTTGACTAGCTGATCTATAACTCGGCGTCGATTATATAGGGATATATTTCCAAGTGATCGCTGAACCGAGAGGGACTGCGATACTGGGGAGTGCGGAAGGACAACCAGACGCCGGTCTAGCACTGCAGAAGTGCCATAAGTGATTTTTATAGGCAGTATCAAACATGGTTTCACGTTATCAAATCATTAGTGTACAGCATGTTTGTCAGGTGTACTCTAC